CCCCAAAACCCCAAAACCCCATTAAAGAGAATAACTTGAGTAAAAGAGTGGTATATCTAAATAATTTTTTTCTCAGAATTAATCAAGGTATTATCAATTGTAGTATTTTTAGGAAACTTAATTATTTAAATATCTAAATTTTATTTGAGAGTATTCCTGAATAACACAAAAGTATTTGCCAAGCCTATGATGCCAAGTTTCAAAATTATATAGCAAGTCAATCCAATGGTAAAATAGACTTTTGATTTGCCAGAACTAATCCCTAAGTCCCAATCTAACTTATCAACAAAGTATTCTATGAGAGTCGATTTGGATTCTTTGGTAACTGAACTAGAAAATAGAGCGTCTAATCAATTAATATTCTTAAGCCCTAATATCAGAGAAAATGAGGGATTAGATGAAGACAAATAGATAAAATAATAACATGCTAAATAAACGAAAGGATTTAGAATAAATAGAAAGATTATTCCTAAGAAAGTAGAAAGTGATATGTCAAATTGTTACAAATTTAGTTAAAGCTGCACAAGTGGAGATTCAACTGATCAGGAATATTAAAATGAGATTAAAGTGTATTAAAATGAAGGAGTCAATAGAGACTCTAAAAATATCTCTTGTTTGGTAATTACTGATTCATCTAGCGAAGATGAGGGGTAAGACTTGAATTAACTTCAAAATAATGCAATTTAGCTACCAACTATATAAGAAACTTAATAAAAATAGAAGTCTGCAGAGTCTGATACCCATGTCTTTAAAAATAAAATAATTCCATAACTGAGGTTTGGTACACCAATTCCTTCTTGTAAAAAGAGAGGGCTTGCAAACCATGACTAATAGACTCGATTTAAGAATAACAGCATTTAAAAGCAGAATGCTAAAGTATATCAATCAAGGTTTTAAGATGTTGAAAGAAGTATAGTCTAGAACATAAATTAAAGTACTCTAAGTTAAATCAAAAGATAGGATAACTATTACAATTATCTCGACTCCTGTGTTTAAGATAAAAAAGATCAAGATAAGAAAAAGGATTTCTTAGAAATTAATGAAACAAAATAAAAGAAAATCAAGATTAAAGATTATGTAAGAAAGCATTTTGAAATCCTAGATAGTCCTTTTAAAACCTTGAATTCTTAGAAAAGTAACTCTGATCAAACTAAATTATAAAAAACGTATGTTAATCGGAAAAAATATAATAATACAGTCCTTGAAGGTTAGAGTAACTTATATACATCAGAACAAAGTGAAGGAAATAGAACATTCAATTAATTGGATGAATTAAATGAGATGAGTTCGTATAATTACAAATTTAGAGATGAGCAAATGTCTAGATTTAATAATTTTCTCGATCTCTAATCAAGTAAAGCCAAAGTAATAAGTCCAATTAGTAACACTTTTTTGTACCACAAATTGAAAAACTAGAATTAAAAATTCGATTAGGAGAGTCAAAGTTTATTGATTCCTCATGACATTGATAGATTAATGGTATAAAAGATGAATCAAGAGCGTATGAAAGCTGGTTTCTAAATTATGATGCCCAGACATTAAAGTAATAAGCCAATGATGAGAGATACTATTGGATCTTCAAATAATTGCTATTAAAATAATACTAAAACAATGGAAAAGTGTAACTTGAAAAAACTAACAATTAATTCCTTAAACCCTGTTTTTGGAAATTAGACTTAATTCGACAGATTATAGAGTAAAAGAATAATTTGAGTCAAGTAAATGGTTAAAACTTATTTTGTTTTGAATTAACCATTAGCTTAGACTACATTATATTTTCCCTCTCAAGATATAACCATATAATTATATTATATAGTAATTTATTAATTTCTAAATTTCAAAAATTCAAATTTTGTGCTTTTCAGTATTTTCTGGACAGTAAATGGGGTTTTGGGGTTTTGGGG